TACTCCCATTTCTCCATTTCCCAAAGTTTCGATTTTTCAGTTCTTCAGTTCTTCAATTTTTCGATTATTCAGGTTTTTGATTTTTCAATTTTTCGATTTTTTAAGTTTGCGATTTTTCGACTCTGCTTTTTTGACTTTTCTGTTTCTCAATTTTTTAATTTCCTAATTTTTGGATATTTCGTTCAATTTTGTGATTTTTCAGTTTTTCGATTTCTCAATTTTAACTTTTCAATTTTTAAATTATTAGTTTTTTTCGATATTTTGAGTTTTCAGTTCTTCTATATTTCAATTTTTCAATTTTCGGAATTTTTAAATTTTCGATTGTCCAATTTTTTTTATTTTTCGGTTTTCCAGTTTTTCGATGTTTGGATTTTTGAATTAACCGATTGTTCAATTTCTCGATTTTTAAATTTTAAATTTTCCAATTTTTATTTTTTTGATTTTTTTATTATTCGATTTCGAGGATTTACTGCGCTACATATTACGATATATTACATATATGTAAAGTCCTCAACACGTACGTTTGCTTATTTTGTGACTGCTACCCGTACAACGTACTGACTAATACGTCCGTTTACTACCTTATCGACATCACGTGCTTACAGACTATTTTTACTCCCTTTCGTAAGGTACCGCCACTTCATAGTGAAGCGAGTGAGATGTAAAATATATGTTCATTCTTTTCTACATGGGAAAGTGATTGTCCGTATAGGTTGTCCAACTATAATATACTTAAACAATGGTTATACTGTGTTTAAACATATGATGCTGATTTGCACGAATAAACAAATTAAAACATTTACCAAACAGCGGTTGCTAACGATGTAAGAAAAAGTGACTCGATTTGGATTTTTTCTCAAAATAATAATTATTTTATCGAATAAAAAATATGTTGACAGTATGAAATAAAATACATAAAAACATACGTTCGGTAATTCTTTTCGAAATTAAAAACTCGCTTACTATGAGATTTTTACACATTTTTTTCGTCGCCCTCTATCGAGTGGTGGATTTATTAAATGTATTGTTACTGTGATTTGTGTTGCCTATGCGCGTGATTTGTGTCCAAGCTTTTCGCCGGCGTTTGACGACCGAATGTTGGTACGCCATCTCTTGGCTTGTTCGCTCCAAACAATAGCATGGGTCTATCTATATGTATTTAATCAATGGTCCGGGCTTGAAAATAAAATCGAAGATCAATAAATTTTATTAGAACCAAGACAATGGAAACAAAATTTAAATAACAGTACAAGGATGTTAAAAAATATACATTATGCCTAGGCACTGTTCATGAGGGTAAAATCGCTAAATAAAAAATAGAAGAAGTGTGCTATGTAATAACTTAGCCACGATCTATAATCACAGAAGTTTTAGTTGCAAAACAAAGTGGAAACTAAATCGAGTTTAAAACCTAAAATATTGGTCACATATGAAAACTATTTGTACTTTGAACTGTACATTTATAAACTGTCCAAACTAAAATTGATTTGGACAACTCCTCCTAAAACCTAATGACGTCATCCCAAAAAGTTAGCAAAAAAGTTTAATAAAAAATACGCCTTGAGATGCGATATCGCTTGTTTTTTCAACAAAGTTGTTTAATTTGATAAAAGTACTTAAACTGCGAGTTCATTATTATTATTATTTTGAACAAATATTAAAGGTGTAAATACATTTTTGGTACTGCTGTTCAAATGTGTAAAAGCTTCAAAAATTAAAGAAACGTAAAATTAAAAACACAGAAATTCAAAAATCGGAAAAATTGAAAAATTCGGAAGTTGGACAATCGAAAAATAAAGAAATGAAAAATTGAAAAACTGAAAAATTTAAGTTTTCAAAAAAAATGACTTCATTCAAATGTACAAAAGCTTGGAAAATTGAAGAAACGAAAAATTAAAAACACAGAAATTCAAAAATCGAAAAATTGAAAAAATCAAAAGCCGTAAACGCGAAAAATTTTAAATTAAAACAGAGAAACTAAAAAATCGAATCATTGAAAAAACCGAAAAAATAAAATATCGAAAAATTGGAAATTCGAAAAATGAAAAAATTAAAAAGTCGGAAAATCAAAAAATTGAAAAATCGAGCTCCAAAACCCTCCAAAACTTCAAAATTTTCCCCAAAAAAAGACTTCATATGTACAAAAGCTTGGTAAATTGAAGAAACGAAACATTGAAAATTCGAAAAATTATAAAATCTAAAAAATTTAGGAAATAAAAACTGAAAAATTGAAAAATTCAAAGCTGCCAAAAAATTAAAAAATTGAGATACTAAAAAAATCGGACAATTGCAAAAACGAAAAAATAAAAGAGTCAAAAATTGAAAATTCGAAAAATGAAGAAATAAGAAATTGAAAAAATGAAAAATTAAAGAGTTGGAAATCAAAAAATTGTAAAATCGAGATCCAAAAACCTTAAAAAAAAACTGACTTCATTCAAATGTACAAAAGCTTGGAAAATTGAAAACGAAAAACTAAAAAATTCAAAGGGCTGAAAATCGAAAAATTTTAAATTAAAACAGGAATTAAAAATCTAATTGAAACAACGAAAAATAAGATTTCTAAAAATTGTAAATTCGAAAAACAAAGAAATGAAAATCGAAAAACTGAAAAATTAAGAAACTGGAAAATCAAAAAATTGCAAAACCAAGATCCAAAAACGTTTAAAATTTTTCCAAAAAAAAAACTGACTTCATTTAAATGTACAGAAACTTGGAAAATTGAAGAAACGAACAATTAAAAACAGAGAAATTCAAAAATCTAATAATTGAAAAATTCAAAAGTCGGAAAATGGAAAAATTTTAAATTAAAATAGAGAAAATAAAATCGAATAACTGAAAAGACGAAAAAATACAATATCTAAAAATTGGATATTTGAAAAATGAAGAAATGAAAAACTGAAAAATTACAATATTGGAAAATCAAAATATTGCAAAAAAACTCGAGATCCAAAAATCTTTAAAGCTTCAACTTTTTTCTAAAAAGAAAAAATTGACTTCATTCATATGCACAAAAGCTTGAGAAATTGAGGAAACGAAAAATTTATAAAACATTAAAAAATTGAAAAAACGAAACATTGAAAATTCGAAAAATTATAAAATCCGAAAAATTTAGGAAATAAAAACTGAAAAATTGAAAAATTCAAAGACGGAAAACGGAATAATTTAAATCTGAAAACTTAAAAAACCAAAGAATTTAGAAATGGGGACACTGAAAAAATCGAACAATTTAAAAAACGAAAAATTAAAGAGTTGGAAATCAATAAATTGGAAAATCGAAATCCAAAAACCTTAAAAAAAACTGACTTCATTCAAATGTACAAAAGCTTGGAAAATTGAAAACGAAAAATTAAAAATTCAAAAGGCAGAAAATCGAAAAATTTTAAATTAAAACAGAGAAACTAAAAATCGAATTGAAAAAATGAAAAAACAAAATTTCAAAAAATTGGAATTTCGAAAAACTGAAAAATTAAGGAACTGGAAAATCAAAAAATTCCAAAACCGAGATCCAAAAACGTTTAAAATTTTATAATTTTTCCAAAAAAAAAAAGTACTTCATCCATATGTACAAAAGCCTGGGAAATTGAAGAAACGAAAAATTACAAACAGAAATCAAAAAGCGAAAAATTGAAAATTTCAAAAGGCGGAAAATAGAAAAATTTTAAATTAAAGCAGAAGAACTAAAAATTGAATATGTAATTGAAAAAACGAAAAAATAAATATCTAAAAATTGTAAATTCGAAAAATGAAGAAATGAAAAATTACAAAGTTGGAAAATCAAAAAAATTGAAAAATTGAGAACCAAAAACCTTCAAAACTTCAATATTAAAAAAAAAAAGATGACTTTATTCATATGTACATACAAAAGCTTTGAAAATTGAAGAAACGAAAAATTAAAACATTGAAAAATTGAAAAAACGAAACAATGGAAATTCGAAAACTTGTAAAATCTAAAAAATTTAGAATATAAAAACTGAAAAATACAAAGCTGGAAAACAGAATGATTTAAATCTGAAAAATTACAAAATTGAGACATTAAAAAATTCGTACAATTGAAAAAACGAAAAAATAAACGAGCTACAATTGAAAATTCGAAAAATTAAATAAAAAATTGAAAAACTGAAAAACTTCAAAATGTTTCCAAAAAAAATTGACTTCATTCAAATGTACATTTTTTTCGTCTCCCTCTATCGAGTGGTAGATTTATTAAATGTATTGTTGCTGTGATTTGTGTTGCATATGCGCGTGATTAGTGTCCAAGCTTTTCGCCGGCGTTTGACGGCCGTAAAGTCCCTAGATTACTAAAGTAACGCGATTCATTAGGCCCGTGTGTTAGACAAAGACAGACACAAATTGAGCCAAAATGGCCGTTTGACAATTGATACTGACGTTTGTGAACAAGTGTGTCAAAGTGTTTGCTCTACAAAAATCAATTAAAATGCCTGGGTGTTGCATCAAATCGTTCTGATCATCTGTTTGAAAAATCTCAAATTACGCATCCGTACATGTCACAATATTATACACAAGATGACAACGTTTTTTTTGAAATGTAGGCTTCATTTTTCTTTAAAAAATAAGTCTCTGGAGACAAAAAATAAAATCAATAAAAGTAGTCGTAGTCTTGGAATACGAAACCTTGTTGACATGGTCAATTAATTTTTAATTTTGTTTTTAGTTAGTGTATAAATAGAATGATTAAAATTTGAAATCTTGACTTTATTTTAAGATAAAAGTTTAGGCACCCAAAACACGTAGAATACATTCATATTGTTAGACACTCGTAATTTCTCGTAGTCATAACTGATTATACCAGCAATTATTGTCCTCATTTTTAAAGTTGGCGGTTGTTTATTTGAGCCAAAATGGCGCCTATTCGCGTTACTTTAGCAATCTAGGGACTTTAGACGGCCGAATGTTGGTACGCCATCTCTTGTTCGCCGGCCTTTGGTCAAACCATAGCATGGGTCTATCTATATCAATGGTCCGGGCTTGAAAATAAAATCGAAGATCAATAAATTTTATTAGAACCAAGACAATGGAAACAAAATTTAAATAACAGTACAAGGATGTTAAAAAATATACATTATGCCTAGGCACTGTTCATGAGGGTAAAATCGCTAAATAAAAAATAGAAGAAGTGTGCTATGTAATAACTTAGCCACGATCTATAATCACAGAAGTTTTAGTTGCAAAACAAAGTGGAAACGAAATCGAGTTTAAAACCTAAAATATTGGTCACATATGAAAACTATTTGTACTTTGAACTGTACATTTATAAACTGTCCAAACTAAAATTCAAGTAGAGTCCCTTCAAAGCCAAATATCACGACGAGTTCATCTTAGAAGGGACGATATATATTTACATATATGCATGTTTCGATGAATACACTTTTACATTTGGTTTAAGTTCTGATTGCATTAACAGGCACAATAAAGTAACTAATATTCTAAGTTGCATCGGATTTGTTTATATCACAATACTGAACAGACTTTGTGCAAAATAAAATTGCTGCTAAAATGAGGTTAGTGTAAAAATGCACAAAATCTATTTCAACTTTTTTCGATATTGCACACTTTGCAAAGAGATCGACGACTCACATTAATACTAAGCGATAAGCAATTTAAAATATAAAACACACAATTTTAATACTATAAAACCCTGAATCAAGTCCGTTCGCAAACAAGATTTTTAACGCATCTCTTTACAAAGGTTAACATTCTACAAAACAAAAGATAAAAATCATAGCAATAAATTAACCATATTTTACAACAAATTCTATTTCGTTCAGTATATTGCTAGATGAATAAACATGTTAAAAAATTATGAAATATAGTTTTTTTACTGTAATGATTAAAATGTATTGATTACAAAACACTATAATCATTTTGTATGGCATTCATTCTAACATTTTAAGTTCCCGTTTGATATGTAGGGGAGGGGATTGTTCACACGTCTTTCTTCTCCTGTGATGTCTCCGGCGATTTCAACGAACAGCTGTCTCCTTCAACTAAACTCGGTGTGCTAAAAACCACAATTACAACCCTCATTCTAACCTCAAACCCCACTCACATGGACGGTTCAGTAACAGGCTGTGTGACGTTTTGGCTGTTGTCTTTACTCTCGCACAAATCTCCAGCATCCTTCTCGGCATCTTTATTCGGCACTTGAGCAACTTTTTCAATACTGACTTTACTATCTTTGGAACTCGCTTTCGCTTCCTCCTTCGGGTCATTCTCAATACTTTCAACTTTCAAATCGTTCTCTACCGTGCAAGAAATATCAGGTTTGGCGGGAGTCTTGTCGAACGCGGAGTCGAAATTCGCGTCGAACTTCACCGAAGTGAAATCGGCAAAGTCCGCCCAGTCGCCCACGTTCGAGTTCGGGTTTGATTGGCTGTTGCTCGCGGGACCCCACGGATCGACGGTTCCTATTGGCGGAACGCCCCGTTCTGGCGCCTTTGGGGACATCCACGCTACAACACACAAGTATGAGACGCCCGTTAAGCGTGAGCGTGCAACTCACGGTCTACTTCCATGGGGACCCCCGACGGCGAGTCGTCGTCGCTGTCGCTGCTGTAGACCGTCTCATTTTGATCTTCTTTCTCTATAACAGTCTGAAAAGTGTGGTCTCGGTCTTCGAAGATTTGATCGTCGGCGTCGTCCAAAGTGTTTATGTTTTGGGCGCAAACTTGCTTGAATAGTTCGCGCTGTTGCGCCACGTCACCGTCGGTGAGGCTGAAAATCATATCAGTCCGATGGTCGATCGTCCTGGATAATCAAAAATAGAGGGATAGTGGGGGTAAAAAAGAAACCTACTGTAAAGTGTCGTCTCCGTCATTGAAGGCGTCGTCGTTGAAACCGCTATAGCCATCGATGCAGTGGGAGGTTAGATGTTGTACTTGATAACTGGAATACATCTAGAAAAAAATACGTAAATGACACTACAACCAAAAAATTTCGGTCTAAACGACTCATTTTTTTATGTTACAAAAACTTATAAATATAATTTAACTTTATCCATGAATCTACATAACTTCTTTGAAATTATGGTCACACACAAACGCTGATGTAGTGATTACAGAATATTAACTAAATTTGATTTTGTACAACTCCTCCTAAAACATGATGACGTTTATCCCAAAAAGTTAGCAAAAAATTTAATAAAAAATACGCCTTGGGATGCGATATCACTTATTTTTTCAACGATGTTCTTTAATTTGGTAAAATTGCTTAAACTGCGAGTTCATTATTATTATTATTATTATTATTATTTTGAACAAATGTTAAAGGTGTAAATAAATTTTTGGTACTGTTGTTCAAATGTATAAAAGCTTCAAAAATTTAAGAAACGTAAAATTAAAAACACAGAAATTCAAAAATCGGAAAAATTGAAAAATTCAGAAGTTGGAAAATCGAAAAATAAAGAAATGAAAAAATGAAAAACTGAACAATTTAAGTTTTCCAAAAAAAAAATGACTTCATTCAAATGTACAGAAGCGTGGAAAATTGAAGAAACGAAAAATTAAGAACACAGAAATTCAAAAATCGAAAAATTGAAAAAATCAAAAGGCGGAAAATCGAAAAATTGGAAATTCGAAAAATGAAAAAATTAAAAAGTCGGAAAATCAAAAAATTGAAAAATCGAGCTCCAAAACCCTCCAAAACTTCAAAATTTACCCCAAAAAAAGACTTCATATGTACAAAAGCTTGGTAAATTGAAGAAACGAAACATTGAAAATTCGGAAAATTATAAAATCTAAAAAATTTACGAAATAAAAACTGAAAAATTGAAAAATTCAAAACTGCCAAAAAATTAAAAAATTGAAAAAAATAAAAGAGTCAAAAATTGAAAAAATGAAAAATTAAAGAGTTAGAAATCAAAAAATTAGAAAATCGAGATCCAAAAACCATAAAAAACTGACTTCATTCAAATGTACAAAAGCTTGGAAAATTGAAAACGAAAAACTAAAAAATTCAAAGGGCTGAAAATCGAAAAATTTTAAATTAAAACAAAGGAACTAAAAATCTAATTGAAACAACGAAAAAATAAAATTTCTAAAAATTGTAAATTCGAAAAACAAAGAAATGAAAATCGAAAAACTGAAAAATTAAGAAACTGGAAAATCAAAAAATTGCAAAACCGAGATCCAAAAACGTTTGAAACTTTAAACTTTTCCAAAAAGAGAGTTCATTCATATGCACAAAAGCTTGGGAAATTGAAGAAACGAAAAATAGAAAAATTCAAAAGGCGGAAAACAGAACAATTTTAAATTAAAGCTGAAAAACCAAAAATCGTATATTAATTGAACGACAAAATAAAATATCTAAAAATTGTGAATTCCAAAAATGAACAAATGAAAAATTACAAAGTTGGAAAATCAAAAAAATTGGAAAATCGAAAACCAAAAACCTTCAAAACTTCAAAAATTTTTCAAAAAAAAATGACTTCATTCATATGTACAAAAGCTTGGAAAATTGAAGATACGAAAAATTAAAACATTGAAAATTCGAAAAATTGTAAAATCTAAAAAATTTAGGAAATAAAAACTGAAAAATTACAAATCAAAAAATTAAAAACATGATAGTCATTAATAAGACCTGGTTTATAGAAACCGAAATTAGTTAATTCGGGATTAACTTTTAATTGAGGTCCGTTGCTAGGCGACGTGCATCTTCTAACCAATCAGGAGCTCCCATTCCACATTTTAATCCAGTGTTAAATTAATCGGGGATTAAATATTTAATTCGCGTTTCTATAAACTGGCCCTAAAAAAATCAGACAATTGAAAAAACGAAAAAATAAACGAGCTAAAAATTGAAAATTCGAAAAAATGAAATAAAAAATTGAAAAACTGAAAAACTTCAAAATTTTTACAAAAAAAAAAACTTACTTCATTCAAATGTACACAAACTTTGAAAATTGAAGAAACGAACAATTAAAAACACAGAAATTCAAAAATCTAGTAATTGAAAAATTCAAAAGTCGGAAAATAGAAAAATTTTAAATTAAAACAGAGAAAATAAAATCGAATAACTGAAAAGACGAAAAAATACAATATCTAAAAATTGGAAATTCCAAAAATTTTAAATTCCTAATTTAGGCAATAAAAACTGACAAAACACAAAGCTGGAAAACAGAATGATTTAGATCTGAAAAAATACAAATCAAAAAATTAAAACATTGAGAGATTAAAAAATTCGGACAATTGAAAAAATGAAAAAATAAACGAACTAAAATTGAAAATTCGACAAATGAAGAAATGAACAACTGAAAAATTACAATATTGGAAAATCAAAAAATGGCAAAAAAAAACGAGATCCAAAAATCTTTAAAACTTCGACTTTTTTCTAAAAAGAAAAAAATGACTTCATTCATATGCACAAAAGCTTGAGAAATTGAAGAAACGAAAAATTTATAAAACAATGAAAAATTGAAAAAACGAAACATTGAAAATTCGAAAAATTATAAAATCTAAAAAATTTAGGAAATAAAAACTGAAAAATTGAAAAATTCAAAGACGGAAAACATAATAATTTAAATCTGAAAACTTAAAAAAACAAAAAATTTAAAAATGGAGACACTCAAAAAATCGAACAACTTAAAAAACGAAAAATTAAAGAGTTGGAAAAATTAAAAACAGAAATTCAAAAATCGTAAAACTGAAAAAGTCGGACAATGGAACAATTTTAAATTAAAACAGAGAAACTAAAAATCTAAAAATTGAAAAAACGAAAAAATAAAATTTCTAAAAATTGGAAAATCAAAAAATTGGAAAATCGAGATCCAAAAAACTTCAATAATTCAAAAGCGTGGAAAATTGAAAACGAAAAATTAAAAACACAGAAATTCAAAAATCTAAAAATTGAAAAATTCAATAGTCGGAAAATGGAACAATTTTAAATTAAAACAGAGAAACTAAAAATCGAAAAAATAAAATTTCTAAAATTGGAAATTCGAAAAATAATGAACTGGAAAAATTAAAAACTGAAAAACTATTTGGAAAATCAAAAAATTGAAAAATCGAGATCCAAAAACCTCCAAAACTTTTTTGAAAAAAAAATTACTTCATTCATATGTACAAAAGCTTGGAAAATTGTAGAAACGAAATATTGAAAATTTGAAAAATTGTAAAATCTAAAAAATTTAGAAAATAAAAACTGAAGACTTGAAAAAATCACAACTGGAAAACAGAATGATTTAAATCTGAAAAATTACAAACCGAAAAATTAAAAAATGGAGACATCAAAAAAATCGAACAATGGAAAAAACGAAAAAATAAACGAGCTAAAAATTGAAAATTCGAAAAGTGATATAAAAAGTTGAAAAAATGAACAATTAAAGAGTTGGAAAATCAAAAAATTGGAAAATCGATTTACAAAAACCTTCAAAACTTCAAAATTTTGAAAAAAAAAAAACTGCCTTCATTCCAGCTTTTGTATATTGCTTGGAAAATCAAAAAATTGAGAAATTCGAAAGTCGGAAAATGGAAAAATTTTAAATTAAAAATCGAATAATCTGAAAAAACGAAAAAATAAAATATCTAAAAGTTGGAAAATCAAAAAACTGGAAAATCAAGATCCAAAACCTTCAAAATTTTCAAAAAAAGACTTCATTCATATGCACAAAAGCTTGGGAAATTGAAGAAACAAAAAATTAAAACATTGAAAAACTGAAGAAACGAAACATTGAAAATTCGAAAAATTATAAAACCTAAAAAAATTACGAAATAAAAACTGAAAAATTTAAAAATTCAAAGCTCAAAAACAGAATCATTCAAATCTAAAAAATTACAAACCAAGAAATTAAAAAATGGAAACATTAAAAAAATTGATAAAATTATGGAATAAAGATACAAAATTTGAAAAATTCAAAAGTAGGCAAATTGAAAAACCCAAAAATCGAAACACTTCAAATTTTTAAAATCCGCCCTCCACACTTCAAACGGGTTGTATTCAAATGTACAAAAACTCAAAACATTAGAGAAACCAAAAATTGAAAAATTAAAATTGAAAACCAAAAAAATTTAAGAAACGAAAAAATGAAAAATCCAAAATTAAACATAGAGAAACTCAAAATATGAGAAACCAAAGCATCTAAAAATCGGCACTCACAAATAAAAAAACTTTAAAATTTCCAAAAAATAAACTTAAATGTCTGCAAGTTCGAAAACATAAAAAAAATTAAAATTAAAAACTACAAAAATTCAAGAAACGAAAAATTAAAAATAATAAAAATTATAAAATCTAAAAAAAAATACGAAATAAAATACAATAATAATACAAATAAAAATTTTTAATTCACAAAACTGAAAAATTCAAAAGTTAAAATATCGAAAAAACAAAAATCGTTAAACAAACCTGAAAAATTGCAAAACGAAAATTAAAAATACAAAAGTTGGAGAATCGAAAAATTGAACGATGGAAAACTTTCAAAATTAAAATTAAAATGGGGTCTAGTGTACAAAAACTCGATTTAGCATGCAGAGACTTTTTGGTGATTACCAATTTGAAATCAAAATAAGGGAAGTTTTCAAAATTTCTAAAAAAAAAATTAAAACCGGCTCTATTTAAACAGAAAAAACAACTACTTTTCACAAAATTTTTTGCAGAAACCGAATCTGAGCTACTTTTACTATACCTCTTTGAATAACGTACAAAAACCGAAAAAAATTCGTAGGAACATTAAAATGGAATAAGTTCAAAAGAAAAAAACGAATCTTCGGACATTTTTTCAACAACGCCTCAAATAACCCGAAAAAATCGAGAAATTTAAGAAAAAAAATATTCAAAGCAGAAAAAAATACCAATTTATAGACAATCTGAAGTCACCATTGCTATATTATTTATTCAGAAACTAGAAAGATACGAAAATGTTTCCAAAAATTATTCAAAAAATTGTAAGAACACCTCTATTCACGTGAAAAAAAAGGACAGGCTTACAGACGACTTTTTGTAGATTATACATATGCGGTCGTCAAATAACCGAAAAAAAATGACAAAATAAATTTATTTTCAAAATAATAATAACAATAAAACTGACAGCATTTAAACGAAGAAGAGATCGTTGTATAACCAAAAATATTAAATTATATACCGAAACTGATTTCAATCAATTAAAACATTGACCATCTTTTCCACTATTTCCAACTAAATCAAAAACTAATTTTACGCTTCGTCGAAATTTCCAAATATTGTTTTTGGCAGCTTTTTCAGTACAGCGACACTTTAAAAATAACGCCTTTACTATGCCAAAAATTAAAATGGCCTGATCGAAACCACATAATACCATCTAAATTTTATTAGCAAATTCCTGTAACGTTTCGTAAGTTCTAACCCCTTTTCTCATCACAAAATCAAATTCTGAACAAAAACTTGTCAATCGAACATTGGAACACGACAACGTTGCAATCGATTCGATATTTTTAGTCTGTGCATGGTCATGGAGCGTATTCAGAGGAAATTTTATTTACAAAGTAGCGATATTTCAACCACGATATGGAGTTTTCTTGTTAAAAAAAGATTCTAATCACGAAAAATCGATAAAAGAGGAAGCACCCGGTCCAAGGATACAATCGACGATGAAACAAAACAGTTAATTTATTTGTACTCACGAACATACAGTTGGGATTTCAAAATTAATCTATTGTGTAATAATTGTAAAAAAAGTTAATTACATCATACGAAGAATTAATGTTTGAAATTATTATTTTAGACCGGCACTACCAGACTAATTTTCAAGACATTATCAACAACACTAAGTATTACTTTGGTTATTTTCACGCTTGTTTACCCTCGGTAACTGACCATAACCGAATTTTTTCCAATAAACACCAGCCCACTTCCATTAATTGAATTCGTCGAAGCAATAAAACCCGAAATCCTCGAGTAATACAATAAAGCTTCATTTAATTGAAATCAGTTTAAGCGGATTTGTTTCAAAATAAATTTTTTCGACGATTTGAAAGCAGATAAATCACACCGAGCCGCGAATCGATTGTTAGGCTTGGGTGTGACACAGTGTAATATCATATCGTAAAATAAAAAAATTACCTGATCTTGAGGGAACGTTATATCACTGTAGTCGTCGTTTTCTTCATTGGAAGAATTAGGATATGCACCACCCTGTATAAAATAAAAACAAATAAAATAAAAATTTATCGTTTTTGTTAAAACTACCCACCAATAGTGTGTCTTGAATAGCGTTGGTTTCTTTCAGAGTGCTCTCCTTAAATTCGTCTAAAGATTTAGCAACTTCAGGTAGATTATCAAGAAGGTATTTCCCTAGAGAAGTATCTGAACACAATTCAACTATTTTATTAATTATGCTTATTAAGTGGCCCATGTAACCCTGTCGCACCCCATTAGACTCTTTCCTAAAATTAAAAAAATAACTCAAATCCACCTCAACAACCACAAAACCCACTGTTGTTCGTCGTTGTCCTTCCAAGCCTTCAAAATTCGTTCAATTACGTTACAATTTACTAATAACTGCAAGGAAAACGCAGTCAGATCCACATCCGAAAACGCGCCTAAAGGGTACTCACGTGTCTACTTAAGGCATTCGAATTTTCATCAGATTCGTCGGATGTGTGTGTTTTCAAAGCGGAAATAAGGCAATTTTCCACTTGAGTGTGCAGGAAATTGTTCCACGGATATTTGAAAAATAAATCTAAGAGAACGGTGCAAGTCCCCAAAGAGACGACTTCCTGCAGCAATCTTCCATTGTTGGACGCTACTGCTGCGGCGAATAATTTCGTCACTTGGAGACGCGTATTGCCTACAGGTGTTTGCAGAGTTCCGACCGTTGTGCTAATCGGTGTTTTCTGAAATCGGACCGGATTTGAAAATTTACAGTGGAACTTTTGTGGAGCGAACTTCCATTTTACGAAAGTGTATCAAATGAAGCAAGATTTGTACAATCTCCGTTATATAGAATCTTACCTCTATGTAGCCTCAATTTATTTTCAAAGAATAATTTACGTTAAGTTAAAATTAATAATTTTAGTTCATTACATAATTTCTTTATAGGTTTATTTATCATACAATTTTGTTTCGTCGGGTTAGAACGCAAAATTTTGGGAATTCAGGTTTTAAAGCATATATTAATTTCCGCACCCGTGCCGACCAATCACAACAAAACACATTCAAACTGATTGCCAAGTTCAAATATTATTCATCGTGTTTATTCAAGTGTTCATATCCAAGATCATGGATCTAGGGAAAACCATACGATTTCTTTTTATATTTATTATTGTGTGATCTGAGCATTTTTTTTAATTGGCATCGATTTTTTTAATTTTAGAGATTCTCCAGTTTCCGAATTTACGATTTTTTGCTTTTTTAGTTCTTCGATTTTACAATTTTTTGAGTTTTCAACTTTTAGTTTTTTAATTTTTCAATTTGGTTTTTTCGTAATTTTTTTTATTTTTCAACAAAAGTACAAATTTATTCAAACTGAAATTTTGAATCGGAAAATTGTAACACTGAAATAACGAAAAATTTCAAAATGAAAATCGAGAAACCGAAAAATCGAAAAATTGTAAAAACATGGAAAAATAAAAAAAAATTAAAACTGCAAAATCGGATAATTGAAAAATTCGAAAAACGAAAAACGTTAAAAATCTCGAAACTGAAAGAACAAAAAAGCGAAAATCCAAACAATTTTGCAATTTTTCGATTTAAAAATTTTCAAGTTCTTTATTTTTAATTTGACAAAGTTATTCAAACTAAAATCTTGAAAAATCGTAAAATTGTAAAACCGGAACATTAAAAAATTAAACAATTAAAAAATCAAGAAATTGAAAAATCGACAAAATGAAGGAATTCTGCAATTTTTCGATGTTTTCATTGTTTCGATTTTTCATTTTTTAATTGTCCAACAAAAGGACAAATTCATTCAAATTGAGATTTCAATAAATCGAAAAATTGAAAATTTTAAAAATTAAGAAATTGAAAAAATTGGATAATTAAAAAATCGAAAATTGTAAGATAGAAAAATTGTAACATTCAAACTTGAAAAAATTTTAAAAAATCCAAAAATTTCAAAGTGTTAATCAGAAAATAAAGAAATTGTAAAAACAAAACGTCGAAAGAACGAAAAATTATAAAATCTCGAAATTTAAAAATCGAAAAAACGAAACAATTTTGTAATATTTCGAGTTCACTTTTTCAAGTTCTTGATTTTTTCGATTGTTCATTTTTTAATTTTGAAGAAAAAGACAAATTTAATCCACCGACATTTTAAAAGATCGAAAATTTGAAAAATCGGAAAATTGTAAAGTCGAAAATTTATTGTAAATTTGAACGAACCAAATTTGAAACATCGAAAAATTGAAAAAAATCGAAAATTTGTAACATTGAAACCTGAAAAAGTGATCAGTTCAAAATCGAACAATTGAAACATCAAAAAATTGAAAGAACGAAAAATTGTATAATTCCGAATTTGAAAGATCGAAAAATTAAAATATCCAAAAATTTAAAAATGTAGAATACAAAAATTTTAACTAAAAATCCAACATTTTCAAAATGAAAATCGAAATCGAGAAATCGAAAATTTGTTGTAAAAACGAAACACGGAAAAATCAACACATTTAAAAATTGAAAAGTCGGATAACTGAGAAATTATTAAAATTTACAAATGAAAAAACGAAAAATTTAAAAATGTCGAAGATCAAAAAATCAAAAAACGAAACAATGTTGCAATTTTCCGATTTAGAAACTTCCAAGTTTTTGATTTTTAATTTTCTTTTCTTTTTCTCAATTTTTTATTTTTTCAACAAAATGACAAGGTTATTCAAACTAAAATTTTGAAAAATCGATAAAATGAAAGAATTCTGCAATTTTTCTATACAAAATTTTTCATATTCTCCATGTTCAATTTTTTGTTTCTTTCGATTTTTAATTTTTTAATTTTGAAGAAAAAGACAAATTTAATAAACCGACATTTTAAAAGATAAAAATTGAAATTCGGAAAATTGTAAAGTCGAAAATCTAGAACCAAACACTGAAAAACCGAAAATTGTAAAAATTAAGAAGAAAAAATAGAGAAACTGAAAAATCGAAAAATTGAAAAGCAAAGAATTGTAAAAATCGAACAACTGCAAAATTGTAAATTTAAAAAACTGGAAAAAATCAATTTCTACAAATTGAAAAATCGACAATTGTAAAATTCAGAAGTTGAAAAATCTCTGAAAAATCGAAAAATACAAAAAAAAACAGAAAAATCCGAAAATGCTAAAATAAAAATTGAAAAACTGTAGAATTAACGAATCGAAAACTGAAAAATTGAAATCCAAAACTTGAATGGACCTAATTTGAAACATCGAAAAACTGAAAAAAATCGACAATTTGTAATACTGAAATCTGAAAAAGTGATGAACTAAAATTCAAGTAAATGGAACATCAAAAAATTGAAGAACGAAAAATTATAAAATATCCAAAAATTTAGAAATGAAAAATACGTAAATTGTAACATTGAAACATTGTAAAACCGAATAATTTAAAAATTGAAAAATCGAAAAATTGGACAAAATAAAGAAAATCCAAATCGAAAGGTCGACAATTGGAAAATGGAAAAATTGTAACATTGGATATGAAAAAACTAAAAAATTAAAAAATTGAAACTGAAAATCAAAAAACAGGAAAAACGAAACTTGGAACACCGAAAAAATTAAAAATTGTACACGCCAAAACTTGAGAAATTGAAAATTTGGATAACTGACAAAACTGAAAATTTGAAAATCTGAAAAAGCAAGAAACTGTAAAATTGTAATTCTGAAACCTGAAAAACTGATAAATTAAAAATCCAGAAATGGAAAAATACGACAAACAAAAATTTCTAGAAATAGAAAAATTGACAAATTGTAAAATTCAAAAGTTGAAAACTCCCTAAAAAATCGAAAAATACAAAAAATTTAAACTGGAAAATCCAAAAATGCTAAAATAAAAATCGAAAAACTGTAGAATAAAGAATCGAAAAGAAAAATTTAAATCCAAAGTTTGAAAGAATCAAATTTGAAACATCCAAAAATCGAAAATTTGTAGCATTGAAACCAGAAAAAGTGATGAATTAAAAATCGAGGAATTGAAACATCAAGAAATTGAAAAAAATTGTAAAATTCAGAATTTGAAAAATCGAAAAATTAAAATATCCAAAAATTTAAAAATCAAACTACAGAAATTTTAACTAGAAATCCAACGATTTCAAAATGAAAGTCGAAATTTTGAAATTAAAAAATCGGATAAATGAAAAATTAACAATTCAAAAAACGAAAAATTTGAAAATCTCCAATTGAAAAATAAAAAAAATCGAAAAAATGAAACAATCTGAAATTACTTGGAAGTACTTTATTTTTTATTTTCTTAATTTTTCGTTTTTAATTTTTCAACAAAAGAACATTTTTTTTTTACTAAAATGTTAAAAAATTGAAAAATCGGAAAATTGTCACATTGAAAAGTGGTAAAACTGAAAACTTGAAAATCGAAAAATTAAAAAAGAAACATTGTAAAACCAAATAATTTAAAAATTAAAAAATCGAAGAATTGGAAAAAATAAAGAAATTCCAAATCGAAAGGTCGACAATTGGAAAATGGAAAAATTGTAACCTTGAATATGAAAAAACTAAAAAATTAAAAAATTGAAATTGAAAATCAAAAAAACAAAAAACGAAATTTAAAACACCGAAAAACAAGTGAAAATTTGAAAATCTGAAAAAACGAGAAACTGATAAATTAAATAATGGAAAAATACGGCAAACAAAAATTTTTAGGAATAGAAAAATCAACAAATTGTAAAATTCAAAAGTTGAAAAATCCCTAACAAATCGAAAAATACAAAAAATTTAAACTGAAAAATCCAAAAATGCCCAAATAAAAGTCGAAAAACTGTAAAATTGAAGAATCGAAGAAACGAAAAATTAAAATCCAAAATTTGAAAGGACCAAATTTCAAATATGAAAAAATTGAAAAAATCAAAAATTTGTAACATTGAACCTGAAAAAGTAATCAATTAAAAATTGAGTCATTGAAACATCAAAAAATTGAAAAAACGGGAAATTGTAAAATTCAGAATTTGAAAGATCGAAAAATTAAAGTACCCAAAAATTTAAAAATGAAAAATACAGAAATTTTAACTAAAAATTAGGGATGTACCGACTAGTGGCCGACCGGTCGGATAAGCCGACTATTCGGCCGTTTTTCATCGTCGGCTGCAGTCGGCGACTAGTCGGCTAAACAGCCGATCGGTCGGCTTTTTTTATTAAAATTAAAATAGTATATAAAACAATTAAACCCGGTTTACAGAACCTCAATTAAATATTTAATTGCGATTTAATTTTTAACCCCACGTTAAAATATCATGTGACCGACTCTACGCCAATCAGACGTCGCTAATGGCCTTGTTAAATGCGCGATCAACTTAAACTCAGTTAAAATATTGTATAAACGGCCCTAAATTGTGTTATTCTTTATTTTTGTACTGAGTTACTAAAAAAAATTAAATGTTAAAATTATCCAAACAAATTTAACACATTTTTTGGAAAACAAAGGAACTTTAGTTATTCCTTTTATTAAAATAGAACAAACCTTTAAGGTAGCCAGAGAAATAGAAAAAAAACACACTGTTTGTTGCATTTATAAACCGGTTTTAGCAAAGCCGAACAGTCGGCCGACTAGTCAGTTTTTACTGGCCGAACAATCGGCTAGTCGGTTAGTCGGCCATACCTACAGTCGGTACATCTCTACTAAAAATCCAATAATTTCAAAATGAAAATCTAAATCGAGAAACCGAAAAATTGTTGTAATAACGAAACACGGAAAAATTAAAAAATCTTGAATCGAAAAATTACAAAATCGAAAAAACGAAACAATCTGGAATTACTTGCAGGTATTTTATTTTTAATTTTTCATTTTCTCAATTTTTCGTTTTTAATTTTTCACCAAAAGGACAAATTTGTAACATTGAAACATTGAAAAATTGTAAAACTGAAAAATTAAAAAAAGAAACTTTGTAAAACCGAACAATTTAAAAATTGAGAAATCGAATAATTGGAAAATGGAAAAATTGTACACTTGAAAATGAAAAAACTAAAAAATTAAAAAATCGAATGAAGCAATTGCAAAATTGAAAATCAAAAAACAGAAAAAACGAAACTTGAAACACCGAAAAATTTAAAAATTGTACTCCAAAACTGGAAAAATTGAAAAATTGGATAATTGACACAATTGAAAATTTGAATAACTGAAAAAACAAGAAACTGTAAAATCAAATTATAACACTGAAACCTGAAAAACGGATCCTGAAAAGGAAAAAATTTCTAGAAATAGAAAAATTGATAAATTGTAAAATCAAAAATTAAAAAATACAAAAAATTGAAACTGAAAAATCTGAAAATGTCAACATAAACATCGAAAAACTGTAAAATTAAAGAATCAAAAACTGAAAAATTGAAAAAAAACGAAATATTGAACAATAAAAAAAATTGAAATACCGAAATGTTGAAAAAATCAACAATTGAAAAATTGCAAAATTAAAATATCTTCAAATAGAAAAATCCAAAAAAACAGAAATTGTCAAATCAAAATTGTAATATTGAAACCTGAAAAAACTGTCCAATTAAAAATCGAGAAACTGAAAAATCGAAATAACAAAAAATTAAAAAATGGAAAAATTCCACAATAAAAAACTGAGAAATCGTAAAAAATCGAAAACCTTCAAAAATTCCAAAAATCGATGCGAATTAAAAACAAATGCTTGGATCACACAGATGAGAGCAATAAAATAATATTTGAATTTGAGCAAGTTTGAATTTAGCGCCGATCCGCTTTGTTGTGATTCGTCGGCACGGGTGCGGAAATTAATATATGCCAATAAACAGAATTAGTAAGCTTAATTTTTATCGCTTTTTATTGTATTTATTTTCTCCTAATATGCAATAAAGATATCATCAGTTTTATTATTATTACGCTGAAGCGTGCAAAATTTTTGCAAATGCATTTCGTCAGATACACACTTTTCAAACTGTAGGTACATACGAAAAAGAAAATTACGCGTAAAAAATTAGAAAAATGAAAAAAGAACAATTTTCCGCTATACGTTTATCGCCAAATGGAAGTTCGACTGTACATTGTGAACATTACCTTGGGCGGGTTAAGTAATAGGTCGTGAAAGTCTTTTAAATGTCCTAAGATCGTCTCCGTTGTTGACTGTATCACACGTTCCCTCTGTTCAACATTAATAATAGTTTCTTCGCCTATGTCGGAATTGTAGGTAGTTTGGGAGTTATTTAGTTTGGGAATGCTGAAAATCTTATCAGTGGTTTGGCTGAAATTTAAATTCGCTTAATTAAGCATTACACAGGAATGTCGACAGCTGGAACAAGTGCTACTAAAAAAAAAATAAATACGTGTCGAAACCCAATTTTTTTTCTTGTTCGCAGCTGTCGCATTCGAACGAAAATCCAGCAACATCGAGCAGAATTACCTCAATTGATTAATATCTAAAAGCGCTAAAAGTACTTGAATGCCGCCAACGATAGCACTTTCTGTCTTCTCACCTTCAAATATATTATCTAACAATAACGATACTGTTTCAGACCTGCAATCCAAGCATCGATCAAACCGAACTAATCCTTACAACGTCGAACTTACGATTCTAAAGTATTAAGTAGCGGATCTGGATCAACTCGTTCCGTCGAATTCTTTTGAGTGTCTCGAGCTACCCTAATAAAATCACACAACAATTGAGCAACGTTATAGTGCCTTTCCTTGTCAACTTTCGGATTCAACAAACCGACCAACGATTGCATGATTCTTTGACTGTCGAGCCACTGAAACGTTTCTTGTTTTGGTTTTCTCTGGTTATCGTGTGAGAAGCTACTCACGTTGAGAATGTTTTGTCTCATTTCGAGGCTTTCAACCTGTGTCATGAGTTTGAGCATGAGATCCATGATAGCGGAAGTGCCTAAATGTTTGAGCAGTAATGATATAAAGGTGTCCTTAGCTTTTAAAAAATCTAGAACCTGTAAGCAAGTGAACTGATAGGACAACCAGTTCTGGTAGATGGAAGAAGGATGTCACCGAAGGAGCGAAGACGTGATGGGAAAGGCGCGGAAAAAAGGGGAAAAAATATGTTATATATCATACACTAAATAACTAAATAAATACATATAGTCAGACTTCATTCACGCGCGGATCGTTCGATCAGCACAATTGGAAACTTGGGAAATTATTTTTGTTGTCAAAAAAAAAGGGAAAAATGTAAAGGTACAATTTTAAAAGTGTGAAGTCTGTTTCAAAATTTTATCTACGGTTTCAAATTTGTTGCCATTTTGATTTAAGATATTGAAATGAATGCTATAAAAATACAGATCTAATTTTATATAAACTCGATTCATTTTTCCCCTTTTTTGAAACAGCTTTCTCACAATAATAAGATAATAATTTAGTAAGGAGCATTTCCCAAGTTCCTATTAAATGGAATACAGTTTCATTTATCCCTATTTTGCAGTGTCAGGATGATTCATTTCACACACAATTTGGTAATTGTAAGTGGTTATGAGTAATGTAAATACTTTACTTAAATTTAGACTTGTAATTGTTTTAAAACACGGTTCGACAATCACAGAAAATGGTTGATTATGGTTATTAGCAGTTTAAGTAAAGTAGGTTCTGACAATAACATGAAAAACGGTTTTATATGGTTGATAAAAGAAATGTTTTTATTTACTGTTATTGTTAACAAGGTTACTATCAAATTGGAATAGCAAATTTAACTTAAACGCAGTATATTACGCTTATAAACTCCAGGTGGATTTTTTTTTATTTATTTTTTAAGACTGCGTTTTATTTCGATTGAAAGACAATTTCCAGCAATGTCGAGAACCTAAAAAAATGTTCCAAGTACCAAAAGAAGAGTAAACAGAGAGAGATTTTTCGAAATATTGGGTTTCAAAGTCCAAATTTTTCAAATTTCACGAAGTGATAGGAATTTTTGAAGAAATGAAGCCTAAAATAACTTCCAGAGGTCGAAATCTAGAGAAAGTCTCGTTAGGTATTTTTCGAAAGGGGGTGAAAATTTCATAATAGGAAAAATTAAGCCTTTGGAAAAGTTGTTTAAAAATTTACAAAAATTCTGGAGATAGATTTCATTTGAAAAATATACCGTGTGGAAAACTGAGAAATTTAAAATCGAAAAATTAAAAAAATACAGAAATTGAAAAAACGAAAAATTGGAAAAACAAAAAATACAAATATTTGGAAAAGAAATTGTAAAATCGAAAAACTGTAAAATAGAAACATAGAAAAATGAAAAAACCCGAAAATTAAAAATCGAGAGACTGAAAAATCTAAAAATTAAAACACATACATATCTAGAAATTAAAAAATAAATAATCAAAAATTAATAATCAAAAATTGAAAAATTGAAAATCAAAAATTGAAAAATTGCAAATTAAAAATGTGATACCAAAAATATCTAGAAAATTTAAAATCGAAAAACTGAGAATCCAAAATCTAAAAATCGAAAAATTGAGAATTCTAAAAATTTTAAAAATGGAGAAATTGAAAGTCATCAATTGAAAAATAAAAAAAATTGAAACGAAAAATAAAAACATCTATAAATTTAAAAATCGGAAAATTGTAAGATAAAAACCCGGGGAAAAATTAAAAATCGCAGATAATCAAAAAATTGAAAAATTAAATTTACAATTTTCCAATTATCCGATTTTTCAGTTTTCAAATTTTACAATTTTTCGATCTTACAACGTTACAATTTTCCAATTTTTCGATTTTAATGTCAGTTTGAATAAATTTGTCCTCCTGTTGAAAAATTAAAAAATGAAAAATGAAGAAAAACGAAAATTAAACATAAAGAACTTGAAAAATTTTAAATCAAAAATTTCAATTTTTCGATTGTTTCAATTTTCCCGTTTTATAATTTTTTTATTCTTCAATTTTTCGGTATTGCAAAATTTTAGTTTCAAAAATTTGTCCTTCTTTTAAACAATTAAAAAATGAAAAATTGAGAACTCGAAAAATTGCAAAATTGTTTCGATTTTTTATCTCGTTTATAATTTTTCACTTTGTCGATTTTCGAATTTTTCGATTTTTCCAAGTTTCAATGCTACAATTTTCAATTTGTTCTTTTGATGAAAAATTTAAAAAATTTAAATTGAAAAATTACAAAACTAGAAAGTTAAAAAATTGAAAGTTGAAAAACAAAAAAAATGCAAAATCGAAAAATTATAATATACGCCTAGAAACTAAAAAGTCGAAAAATGGTACAATCCAAAAATTGAAAATTAAAATGAAAAAATGAAAAATCGAAAAATTGAGAATCAAAAATCCAAAACTCTTTGGAAATTCTAAAAATCGAAAATATAGAGAAATTGAAAAATCAGATAATTCAAAAACATTAAATGAAAATCGAAAAACTGAAGACATGAAAAGAAATCTAGAAATTTAAAAATCGAAAAATTGAGAATTATTCAAAAAACTGAAATGAAAAAAATAGAGAAATTTAAAAATCATCCATTTAAAAATAAAAAATTGGAAGTAGGAAAAATAAAAATTTCTATAAATTTAATAACATAAAAACCGGAAAAAAATCGCAATTAAGGTTACAATTTTCCAGTTATCCGATTTTTTAATTTCTGTATTTTTTCAATCCTTCGATTTCTCAGTTTTTAAATTTTTGAATTTTTTTATGTTCCATTTTACAATTTTTCGATGTTTCAACATTACAATTTTCCGATTTTTCGAATTTAATGTCATTTTGAATAAATTTGTCCTCTTATTGAAAAATTAAAAAATGAAAAATCGAGAACTTGGAAAATTCTAAACCGAAAAATTGCAAAATTGTTTCGTTTTTTCCATCTCAATTTTCAATTTTTCGATTTTTCCAGGACTCAATGCCACAATTTTCCCAATTTTCAAGATTCAGTTTCAATAAATTTGTCCTTTTGTTAAAAAATTAAAAAATGAAAAATCGAGAAAATGAAAACTTAAAAATCGAGAACAAGAAAAAATTTTAAACCGAAAAATTAAAAAATTGAAAACTTGCAAAATTGAAAGTTGAAAAATAAAAAAACATGCAAAATCGAAAAAATAAAAAACATGCAAAATCGAAAAAATAAAAAAGCCAAAAATGGAATGATTGAAAAATCGAAAAATTAAAATACATGTGCAGAAATTAAAAAGTCGAAAAATTGAGAATTATTCAAAAAACTGAATTGAAAAAATAGAGAAATTGAAAAATCATCGATTGAAAAATAAAAAAGTTTGGAAACACGACAAATAAAAATATCTAAATTTTTGAATTTTTTTATGTTCCAATTTTACAATTTTTCGATGTTTCAACTTATAATTTTCCGATTTTTAAATTTTTAGATTTTAATGTCAGTTTGAATAAATTTGTCCACTAAAAAATTAAAAATCAAGAACTAGAAAAATTTTAAACCGAAAATTTGCAAAATTCTTTCGGTTTTTCGTTGTTTTTCAATTTTTGATTTTCTATTTTTCCGTTTTATAATTTTTCGTTTTTTCAATTTTCCAATTTTTCGATTTTCAAAATTTCAGTTTGAACAAATTTGTCCCTACGTTGAACAATTAAAAAATGAAAAATTGAGAACTTGGAAAATTCTAAACCGAAAAGTTTCAATAAATTTGTTCTTTTGTTGCAAAATTAAAAACTGAAAAATTAAAAATCTAGAACAAGAAAAAATTTTAAACCCAAAAGTTCCAAAACTGGAAAGTTAAAAAATTGAAGCCAAAAATGGAATGACTGAAAAATCGAAAATTTGAAAAGTCGAAAAATGGTAAAATCCAAAAATTGAAAATTAAAAACAAGAAATTGAAAAATTGAGAATTGTAAGAATTGAAAAAATAAAGAAATTGAAAAATCAGTTAAATGAAAATTATCAATTGAAAAAACCAAAATTGGAAACATCATACCAAAAATACCTAGACGTTTAAAAATCGAAAAACTGAAATGTAAAAATCTACAAATTAAGAATTCTAAAAATTGAAGAAATAGAGAAATTGAAAAATCAGACAATTGAAAATCATCAAATGAAAAATCGAAAAATTGGAAACATGAAAAAAAATATCTAGTAATTTAAAAATCGAAAATTATTGTAAAAATTGAAAAACAGAAAAACTGAAAAAACGCAAAATTAAACTATAAATTAAAAAGTCGAAAAAATGGTAAAATCCAATCAATTTTTCCGTTTTATAATTTTTCGACATTTCATTTTTAAGAGAACTTCTCAACCGAAAAATTGCAAAATTGCTTCGTTTTTTCCATCTCAATTTTTTTTTTTTTTGAGGTTCAATGCTACAATTTTCTGAATTTTCAAAATTCCAGTTTTAATAAATAATAAATTTATTAAAACTGGAATTTTGAAAAGAACAAGAAAAAAATGTAAATCCAAAACTGGAAATTTAAAAAATTGAAAACTTGAAAATTGAAAGTTAAAAAATTAAAAAAAAAATGCAAAATCGAAACACTGAAAGATTGAAAACTCAAAAAATTGTATAATAGAAAAAATAAAAAAGTCAAAAATGGAATGACTGAAAAATCGAAGAATTAAAAAGTCGAAAAATGGTAAAATCCAAAAATTGAAAATTAAAATCAAAAAATTGGTAATCGAAAATCTAAAAATCTGTAAAAATTCCGAGAATCGAAAAAATAGAGTCCTTAAAAAATCAATTAATTGATAAATCAATATGTAATTGAAAAATCTAAAAATTATAAACACGAAAAATAAAAATAACTAGAAAAAAAAACACGAAAAATTCAAAAACTAAGACAGCATAAAACGAAAAAATTGTTGTACCGTTAAACCTGAAAAAAAAATGAAAAATAAAAAATAGAAAAATCAAGATATTGCAACATTATAAAATTGAAAATCAAACAATTGAAAATCAAAATTTTGAAAAATCCAAAAACTGAAAAATTAACAATCGAGAAAACTGAAAAATCGAAAAATTGGACGAAAACCATGTCCAGAAATAGAAAAAACGAGAAATAATAAAACTAAAAAGTGTAACATTAATAAATCGGAAAAAATAAAAAGTTAAAAATCAAGAAATGGAAAAATTCAAAAAACGAAAAATTGAAAATTAAAAATCAAGAAATGGAAAAATCGAAAAATTGCAAAATTCAAAAAACGAAAAATTGAAAACAAAAATCGTAAAACCGAAAAGCTAAGAATCTCTAAAAAATATGGAAATTTTCGAAGAAACAAAGCCGAAAATTACATCTGGAGGTCACAATCTACAAAAATCTTCAGTTTCGAAAGTGGTGAAAACAGGTCGCAAATTTTTAGGTATTGAAAAATTAAGCTTTTGAAAATTTGACTAAAAAACAAAAAGCCTCGGACAACGATCTCGACGTGCTCGTTTATGGTCCCGGAGCAAGATTTTCGAAAAATTCAAAATTTCAAAATCGAAAAATTGAAAAAACAAAACATCGGTAAACGAAAATTTTTATCGATTTTTAAAATTTTTCCTCTGTAAATTCATATCAATTTCAATATCTTGCTAAAATTTTCAAGAAATTCCACATACAACGTTACATTTACATTCATTGTTTTTCCCGGATTTTACGAGGATTAAATCAACCATACCTGAGATAATTATTGCTAGAATAAATAATTCTGACGCATTATGCGTAACGCACTTTTTAATAAATATTTATTTAGTTTATTTAACATGTTTTACGACGACGTCATAACATTTTCGGGGAAAATAAGTAAATAAAATTTAGTTCTTCCAACAATAAATATTGTAAAAAAAACGTACGTTTATACAGTGTGCAAAAAAATAATGGCGACGGCTAGTTCTCATCACAGTATTAGGAACAATTAAGCCTCCTACGTAACCATAAATAAAGCAGCTCCAAGCAAAACTGGTATTGGAGATTTCTCGTTAAAAAAAGGTTACGTGAACCTCGTCAACATTTACAATAATAACGTTCATTATCTGTTATTTTTCAGAAAAGACACGATGACGCGAACAACCAATATACAAAACAACGACGTCTTAGGTAAACGTACTCATTAAAATTTTTATATAGAGAATGAACAAAGTATTACGCGATAGCACGACACAAAACAAATAAATAAACCAAAGTAAGATTCGCTGTTTTACTGAAACCGACTACATTCTCTTACAACTAAATCAATACAATTAACCACCATGATAAATTAAAAACTGGTACACAAGCAATTTTCACATTCAACAAAAAGTTGTTCCATTGTGAGAATAACGGAAAAACCCATTTTTTTTATTCGTCCCAAATAATCTCCGTCAACCAAAAAAGGAATCCGTGACATTGAAAACGCCGTCAGCATCAACAGATTTTGAAAAACCGCCCGTGAAAGTTATTAGTGCAAACCTGACTTAAGATTGACATTTTCGGGATCTTTGATCATCAAATTGAAAATGAAATAACGGCAACAGTTCAGCACATTGGTCTTATTGGATTAAATGACTAATTATGAAGCAATCAATACTTTAAATATGTATGAAACATGATCGCTTCCAATTGTACATATTCTAGGTTTAGCTTCCTGGGGGGAGTACGCTTCTTCAATTACCAGCTATTATTAGCCAGTCGTGTTTTTTTTAGCTCAAAAACACACTTAATTTTCTAATATTTGGTAATCGGAATTTGAATTCTCGATTTTTTAAATTAATTATATTTAATTTGATTGTTTTTATGCAAATGGCGAAGTTCCTATGGGAAATTTCTATGCACATTTTTGTTTGTTACTTTTATTAATTAGAAGAATACCCATTTAATGACATGGTACAGTTACTCTATTGATTTTAGGCCACGTTGGATGGGCTAATAAAGTATTTAAATTGTTTCCACTGGAACTTGTCCAAAACAAAATCATCACCCCATATAAAAAAATTTACAACTGGAGAGATAAACGTAAATTGACTGCAATAAAATTTTAATTGAAGTGTTTAAAGCAATTAAGTAATTCAATAAAATATGAATAAATAAAAACTGACTCACTGTCTTAAACATTAAGTATTACTTGCAAAAATGAACATCCTGACACTAATATTACGAACACCCTCATTCATAAGTCCACTTAACTCATTCATTTCATCTACCTACCTGCTCAGTCTTTTTTGCAATAAGTGCACCCATAATTCTACTAAAGTAGGAAGCCAACAGTGGATTTAATGGAGGTTCACATTCCAAAAAACTATACAACTTATCGAGAAGTACTTCATCACTAGCCAACCTCTCATTAATAGCAGGAACATCGCAAGTAAGCAATTCGCACGCTATGTTTGGGTATTTAAACCTGATTCTTTCCTCTAGTTCAATCGAGGGCTCCCTCGTTACGAGACTTACAAGTTCTTCCATCATTTCTGGTTTCACTAAGCTAAAACGTGATTTTTGTCTTAAAACCGACTAGTGTGAGTTGCGGCGTGTCTTACAAGTCTATTAAGGCCCTGCTTTGCACTTTACACTGGTTGATGATGTCCTCAGTGTCCATAATTTCACAAAGGGTAACGTCCTGAAACATTGTTTATACAAAGCATTAGGGCGTAAGTGTGGGCATTCCGGCGACTTTTACCTCTTTGCAAAGCAGGGCATCAAGGTACGACGCGTTTTTGTTATATAACCAAAACATGGTAAATTCTGAAAGTAAATGATAAACAGAATAAATATGTGGTAACATGTCAAAATTGACAGGGTTCGTTACGACATTTTTGGGAAAAATTAAGTGCAGTTGAGGTTGTGGGGGTTTTAGTGGGTGGTTGCGTTGCAAGAGCGTCGGATTTTTGTACCTTTTTCAAAACTTTTAGAGAAGACGTTGGGTTAGGTTCATCTGAAATGACCTTTGTTATCAAATTCTTTTATAAATGCACAATTTACACAGACACGGGTTTTGATAATAAACAGCATATCACAAATTTCATAGTATTTAAGTAGAGGAAGTTGCAGGTAAAACGCAATTTACGTGAACTCGAAAATACTTTTATACAATGACAAAAATGACCACCATACATAATCCCAGAATGCACTTGTTGATCGAGTGGGAAATGACATTCCGCGCGAAATTTGAAATCGAGTGGGGTCGCTTTCACGCTTCCCACGCGTAATCAAACGACACTTCAAATCAGAACAAGAATTTTATTGGAAAGTAACACAATAGTCTAAAATATTTACATACATTTCGTGATTTTTGTAAATGAAAAATGCAAACTACTAAAATGTAACGTGAAATTTTGAAAGATTACTCCTTGCCTATCAGCACGTTTCCTTGATTGCCTGGCGGGAGAGTAAACACGGGTCCTTTGTAGTAACGGACTAGAAGACTGGAGCCTCTCTTCAGCTGGTTTCGACTCGAAAGGTCATACCAACAGTCCAACCAGTTATTGTAGTGAGCCATGTACGGGGGCGACCCTGCCATCAGGCCCGAATTTGTCACGGCCATGCAGTTAGAGACGACTTGGAAGGGGTACATTATTGACGACGACAGCATCTGCGAAATGTGATTCTTGAAGAATAAATACTAGAATTGTTTTAGTAAATTCATAACATCAAGTGGCCTTAGTGGCAACCCTGTCAACAAACAAAAAATCCCCAGTATTGTCACTATCGTGAATTTAATTCACCATGAATGGGCTACCAAAACACAATTAGTTTACATAATCAAAAACAAACAACAAACAGTTGAATGTTATCTTGATAAAACAGTGGGTCTTATCAGCGTGAAAAGCCTATAATACTTACACAAAATGCGAAAAAATCGTCCAATTTTAATTTAAAAAAAAAACCCTAGTCATGCTTAAGCTGATAATACTTACACAAATTGCTGCAGAAGTATAATTCTGCAACTCCTTTTCCTCAATTAGGTACTTATTGATGCCATAAGTCAAACAGCTTGCCAACAACACAGACAAAATATCTCCTATTAACATTGGAATTAGTCCACTGAAGAATCCCAAAATACCGTTTTGTTTGTAAATTTCCGCAATCGAGCCAAACACGCCTCTACAATTGACATGTAGACAAAAATAAGCTTCAATTGTAACCCACATACACATATTTAGTTTCTTTTCCTACGAACTGACTCATGATGCGGATTGTAATCACGTGGAAGGGTTGACTGATCACGATTGCCGTTGTGTGCGTTATGATGTCTCCTTTCAGACACTTGAGAAACTTCCGCTTTCTGCAACGAACGTTACAATACAAAAGTCGCACAATGATATGAAAAAAACCTATTTTCTTCGACGTCTGTGTCTTCTTCTTCATCAGCTCGATTCAAGTCAAGATAATCGATCATTTTCTGGGTAGCAACCACACTTATGAGGTTTCCGCAGACTTTGGGGCCTAGACCCCTGTAGCAGCCGGATAGTCCATCCACGGTCTTAATGTGCTTAACTGCGGAAACTCGCGAATGATTATGTACAAAATAAAGCCGCTAGTTACCGTATTGAAAAATGTTGGGCAGTTTGAGGGCTGGTTTACCGAGGAGAGTTTTCGCTGGTCGAGGCGGTATGGGTTCATATCCAATCTAAAAATAGTAGACATTAACTCAGAATTATAGTGGTACATGTCTAACCTGTATGAGAACTTTGGCATATTCAAACGGATGTGATAAGGTGTTTAGAAAAATACGGAGTCCATACCCAGACCATTTATTATTCTCGTTATCTTTGACTACTTTGTTCATACTGTTCCTACGCTTGGTTTACTAATTTTGCTAGTTATATTTTGGTTGTTTAGTCTTAGGGCAAAATTTGATTTGTGTCAAAATTCGGACTGGCCAAAGTGTCAAAGCGCCAACTTTGATGCCTCTTTTAGTTGCTTAATTTCGAAAATTTTCAAAGGAGAGAATTTTCGGTTTGGTTTGATGAACTTTGTCGGAAAATTCACGCAGAAAAATCGGTAACACGAGAGAATGTGTTTTCAAATAAAAAATGCACTTTCACGTTACGTTTACACTTTAGGTGTAGATTACAGTAGATTGGGTTTAATTTCCAGCGCCGGGAACTTATCTCTATTTAAGGTTATCTGAATGAAATTTTGACTATGTGTATAAATGGTTGCCTAACTTCCATACATAAACTGCTGCTGCTTCACCTCACACGAGCTAGAAATCAAATATTGAGTTGTAGCACCAACGATTTTTTCCATTTAAATCCTTTCAAATCCCTGCAGACTGTCCCAGATTCTTCCAGTTTTTTTATTCTTCTAGATTCTTACAAGTTTCCTCAGATTCGTTCCAATTCTTTCCGAATCTCCCAATTTCTCTCAGATTCCCACAAATTCCTCCAGATTCATCAGATGCTTTCAGATTCTTTCTGATTCTCTCTTTCCCATTCTTTCGATTTTTTTATACTTTTCGATGCTTTGGGACTGTTTCAGATTCTTTCAAAGACACCGTCAGGAATCCTTAAGATTCTTTCAAGTTTTTCAGTTCTAGTCAGGTCATTTCAGATACTTACAGATCATTTCAGATCCCTGCAGATTCTTCAAATTCTTCCGAATCCTTCCAGTTTTTTTTTTTTTAGATTCGCTCACAAGTTCTCAAGAATTTTTCACCTTTCAAATCGTTTCAGATTCTTCCAGATCCTTTCAAATTTTTCCACATTAGTTCAGATCCTGCAAACTGGTTAACATTCCTCCAGATTCTTTCATTTTCTTTACAACTTTTCCTTATTTTGAATCGAAATCCTCAAGATTCTTTGACATTTTTCAGTTCTCTCCAGATTGTTTTAGATCCTTACAAATCCTTTCAGATCCCTGCAGACTGTTCCAGATTCTTCCAGTCTTTTTTAGATTCTTCTAGATTCTCACAAGTTCCCTCAGATTCGTTACAATTCTTTCCGAATCTCCCAATTTCTCTCAGATTCCCTCAAATTCCTCCAGATTCATCCGATGCTTTCAGATTCTTTCATTTTCTTTCTGATTCTCTCTTTCACATTCTTTCGATTTTTTTATACTTTTCGATGTTTTGGGACTGTTTCAGATCCTTTCAAAGACACCGTCAGGAATCCTCAAGATTCTTTAAAGTTTTTCAATTCTATTCAGGTCATTTCAGATACTTACAGATCCTTTCAGATCCCTGCAGATTCTTCAAAATTCTTACAAATCCTTCTAGTTTTTTTTAGATTCGCTCACAAGTTCTCAAGAATTTTTCACCTTTCAAATCGTTTCAGATTTTTCCAGATCCTTCCAAATTTTTCCACATTGGTTCAGATTCCTGCAAACTGGTAAAGATTCCTCCAGATTCTTTCATTTTCTTTACGATTTTTCCTTATTTTGAATCGAAATCCTCAAGATTCTTTAACATTTTTCAGTTCTGTTCAGATTGTTTGAGATCCTTACAAATCCTTTCAGATGCCTGCAGACTGTTCCAGATTCTTCCGGTCTTTTTTAGATTCTTCGAGATTCTCACAAGTTCCCTCAGATTCGTTCCAATTCTTTCCGAATCTCCCAATTTCTCTCAGATTCCCTCAGCTTCCATCAGATTCTCTCAGATTCCCTCAAATTCCTCCAGATTCATCAGATGCTTTCACATTCTTTCATTTTCTTTCTGATTCTCTCTTTCACATTCTTTCGATTTTTTTATACTTTTCGATACTTTGGGACTGTTTCAGATTCTTTCAAAGACACCGTCAGGAATCCTCAAGATTCTTTCAAGTCTTTCAATTCTACTTATTCAGGTCGTTTCAGATACTTACAGATCCTTTCAGATCCCTGCAGAGTCTTCAAAATCCTTCCAAATCCTTCCAGTTTTTTTTTTAGATTCGCTCACAAGTTCTCAAGAAATTTTCACCTTTCAAATCGTTCCAGATTCTTCCAGATCCCTACAGATTTTTCCGCATTGGTTCAAATTCCTGCAAACTGGTTAAGATTCCTCAAGATTCTTTCATTTTCATTACAACTTTTCCTTATTTTGAATCGAAATCCTCAAGATTCTTTAACATTTTTCAGTTCCGTTCAAATTGTTTGAGATCCTTACAAATCCTTTCAGATCCCTACAGACTCTTCCAAATTCTTCCAGATTTTTCTAGATTCTTTTAGATTATGCTAAATTCTTCGAGATTCTTTCAGATTCTTACAAACCCCCTCAAATTCTCTCACATTTAGGATTTATTCAGCAAAATTTTGGGGTGACGTCATCAATTTTTTAGGGGGGATGAGCAAATACATTTTAATCATTTTACCATGCTTATGATAACTTTAAAACATCTCCAAGATTTCCAAGCATCAATAAAATAAATTTACGCATTCAATAATTTTTTTGAGTCGCCCTGTATAGCCAAATCCAAAAAATATGAATGGAATGATAAATTACAAGAAGAGTCTCATCATATTTTGTAAATTTTAAATAGGATTTATTCGGCAAACTTTTGAGCTGACGTCATCAATTTTTTGGAGGGGAGAGTCATCAATATTTTGGCTAAAAATTTATTATGCTCTTTATAACCTTAAAACATCTGCAAGATTTCAAAGCATTCCGTTTAGCAGATTCAAATTTAAATTACAAAATGTTGTTTCATAATTTTGATTTTTTTTCCAAAAATCTGGACGTTTCGGGTAAAAACTCTTTTCAGAGTAATAAACTACATGTTATAATAATAATAATAATAATAATAGTGCTTTATTACGCCGAAAGATGTAAAGGCATTACATAAAGTACATAACAAAATATTAACATAACAATTCATATTAACATAATAGTAACAATTTGCGACATTCTTTCTTGAAGGCGTTGAGGGAGATACCAAAAAACTCTAAAGTGTTGCATTCGTTAGCAATCATCAAAACGCTATTTAGAGGCGAATGTAATGCATAATTCGTTTTATGAACTGGTATAAAAAACAGCCTAGGCGTACGAACCTTACGGATTGACACATTAAGACCTACCAACGCTAGCAATATGGGGGCTTCAATTAAACCATTTAATAATTTAAAAAGAAAACATAGTTTGTGATACTTACGACGATTTTCTAGTGTATGTACTGACAGATAAGATGCAACAAGGTCTGTATCAGCTAACACAATACCATCACCACACAACTTATATTTGACATATTTTAAAAGTTTGACTTGGACAGCTTCAATTCGGCTTATGTGAGTGATATAAAACGGTGACCAGTTGACACAATTGAATTCCAATATCGATCGGACTAACGAATAGTATAATATCAGAATGGTTCTGATGTTACTGAAGTTCACCGTCCACCGCTTTAAACACCCCAAAAGTTTTCTACCTCTAGAAACAACATATTCACAGTGACTGACGAAAGATAATTTAGTGTCTAAATAGATACCCAAATCCTTGGCATTGCTAACTATGTCTAGGGGCGTATTTTCTAGTAGGTACAATGGAACTGAGGGACGACTTTTGCGACTAAAGCACATTGCTTTGCATTTTTTAATGTTAAGAGACATATGATTGAGTTTACACCAATCGTTAAGACATATAAGATCATTTGTCAAAGTATTTATGTCATACATGGAATCAATCTTCTTATATAACTTCAAGTCATCTGCATACAGTAAGGAATTTGAGTTGAAATTCAAGCAGATATCGTTAATGAAGATATTAAATAAAAGTGGTCCTATAACCGAGCCTTGAGGAACTCCAGATGTTGATTCGTAGGTAGATGACTTGAACTTCATTAATTGTACAAAATGTAGACGATGACTGATATAAGATTGAATCCATGAAAGTAAAGGATCACGAACGCCGTAGAGTAGAAGTCAAAATGGTGTGATCAACAGAATCAAACGCCTTGTGGAAGTCTGTGTAGATGCAGTGAATTTCCGAACCGTCCTCAATTGCATTAAAAATATCATTTATGTATACAAAGAGATTAGATTCAGTTGATCTACCAGAACAAAAACCATGTTGTGACACACTGATTACGTTTCTAAAAGAATCACTTATGAAACTGGACACAATGTTTTCAAAGATTTTCGATAGAACTGAAATTATACTAATCGGTCGATAGTTTTCAATGTCTTGCTTATTGCCAGATTTAAAGATTGGTACCACACGTGCAGATTTCCACAAGTCAGGAAATTTTCCCGAACTTATTGAAATAGAGAAAATTCGTGTTAGTGGTATAACCAATGAATCTCTGCAGTTATAAAAAAATGTTGGAGGTAACTCATCTGGCCCAGCACCCTTGTTTAAGTTTAGAGCATTAAGTTCTCTTGCTACCAAATCTTCCGTGATATGCACAGAGCTGATGTCAACAAATGAGTCAATTGTGTAAGGATAGTTATAATTACTACTACTGCTGGTATTATTAGTATATACGGAAGAAAAAAAACTGGCAAACGTATCAACTATGTTTTGAAACCCGCAAACATCAATACTTTTATAAATCATTGTATTTGAAAAGTCGCAACTGTTTTTTACACTCTTAATAAAATTCCAAAAATGTTTTGGGTTAGAGTTGATTTGAGATTCGGTGTTCTTAATAAATTTCTTGTAACAGCAAGCGATTTCTTGTTTACATTTGGCTCTAATTAAACTGAAATTATAATAATCTCTGATATCACGGCTTATTTTATAACGACGATGTAATTTGTTCTTCTCAATCACTAACTTTCTAGTTTCATGGCTAAACCAAGAGGGAAAATTTTTACTTTTAGATTTCCGGATTGGTATAAAATTATCACAAATGAAATACAAACACTGGTAAAAGTCATCTACAATATCACATATGTCATTATCGCTACTAATAAAATCCCAGTTAAAGTTAAACAGGAAAGAATTGATGGCATTATAATCACAGTTTCTGAAATCACGATAGGTATCACAAAATGTATCACCGTAATAATTACAGTTACAGTCAGATATCACAAATTTAAGAGGTGGATGAAACTTATCCACCTTTACAAACTCACCAGTACGACTTACAGTAAGACTATCACAGTTGGAAAAACAAAGGTCAAGAATATTATTATTGCAGTTGGCAATATTGTTAAATTGACAAAGATCGCATGACGCAAAATTGTAGCATATAAGAGTCTCTTTTTCTGATTTAATATTAGTTGGAGTCAAACCTA